CCTTTTAAAATTTGAATATTATTTTCTTCTTTGACAATTTTTTTTTAAGATTTATTTATTTATTCATACAGAACTGGGGTACAGGCCAGAGATGCGGAGGGTGAGAGGATTCACCAGGGACAGAGTGGGAGCAGAACAGGCAGATCTATGAAGTACACTGCTGAGGGGAGCAGCGGGCGGGCCAGGAGAGGTCTGCTGTGCCATGTGGATGACATTGGGGCAGGCAGGGATCGAACTCATGCGGAAGTGGCTTAAGCTTCTTAGTGCAGCGCTTTAACCCACTGCGCCACCAGGGAGGGCCTCTAACAAAATTTATCCTTATGTTATCTATGCAGGTTGGTTTCCTTTTCTGAGATCTGACTGTTCATATTCTTGATTACTTCTAAACTATTTGTTAAATTTTACTATTTATTTAGTAGGACTGGAGTGTAGGCCAAAGATGCAGGGTGTGAGAGGATTCACCAGAGACAGAATGGGGAGCAGAAGAGGCAGACTGGCTGAAATACAATGCTGAGGAGAGCAGTGGGCAGGCCAGGAGAGGTCTGCCAGGCCATGTCCGGTGACTCCCTGGCTGGTGTTGGATCCAGCCACAGGGGTGACAGAGCTGAGACTTCACCCGTAGGCTACCAGGGATGCCCTCTTCTTATGTTTTTCTTCCTGGGTTTTATGAGCCCTTTAAGTGTTTGCAACAAATTCTCACTCATGTCACAGACATATCCTCAAAGTTTGTGGCTTTTAATACACTGATAATATTATTTTTTAAACTTTCAAAAGAGAGTTACTCAACTCTTGTTATAAGCCAAATATTCACCAAAATAAGCACTTTCTGATTATCTTACTTGGTTTCCTAGTCATCAGTTTAGTTCCTTCATCTTAATGAAGCAAGTGAGACCCAGGGCGAGAGCACCTTGCTGGTCACACAGCGCTTGGCCCACCTGCAATAGGAGTGAGGTTGCCGGTAGTGTGTCTTCACTGATTAGGTTCCTTTCTATCGGTTCCAGGGCCACTGCCTCCACGCACAGCTTCAGGCCTGAGAACTTTATAGGGGTCTGCAAAAATGGCTGAAGTGTGGGAAAATTAATCGACTCTAAAATTGACTTAACAAAGAGAATTTGAAATTATTAAGAAAATATGGGTACATTTCAATATGCATGATATGATATAGATCAGGATCTCCATAAATAAAGCTGTCTAAGACCTGTAGAGGTCTTTAAAAGGCTGCTGGGGAAATTATAGACAGCCATCAGGACTCTGAGGAGATGATTGGTAGGATCCTGTCTCCAAAAGCAGTAAAAATAGACAACACAGAGCATGGCTGTGGTGGCATTTTTGGGGCCAGCTAGAAATAAATTTCCTTCCTTTTCTTTTTTCCCCTCCTGTGACCAAACAACACATTTTTTCCCCCAATGAAACCTCAACCTCAGGTTAATGAATTCAGCTCACTGTCTCTACTATACAATGTGATGTTTGGACTAATCTCTAGCTTCGTGATTTACAAAATGGAGACAGACCCCTGATATGTGAGGTGATTTAGGAAGTGTGGAAGCTCATTATTTATAAAGATTTATTTATTTATGCACACAGAGCTGGGGTACAGGCCAGAGGTGCAGGGGCAGTGAGAGGATTCATCAGAGAGAGTAGGGAGCTGAAGAGACAGATTGGCTGAAATACACTGCTGAGGGGAAGCAGTGGGAGGGTCAGGAGAGGTCAGCTCTGGGGTGGGGATCAAACTCATGCTGAAGTGCTTTAACCCATTCCACCACCAGGCCCTGGAAGCACATTTTAATTTAATAAATGTACCTATTTTAGTATGTCTCCAGGAAAAAAAATACAAGTCCTCAAAATTATAGTTACAAATTAAAATTACAAATATCTAACTATAGTGGGCATTTGAGTATATTTAAGTAAATTTATTTAAAGGAAAAAAATTCCATAAGCAATTGGATATGGCCAAAGGTTTGAAAGTGATATGGTACACTTTTGGGAAACAACATGGTTTTTTGAACTCCAAGAAAAAGGCCAGGACTCTTGACACTAAATCAGTAGGTTACAGTCAGCATTTTTCTCATTAATGAAACAAAATAAGAAAATAATTGGGGTGCTTAAACATTAAAGGCAAAGGTTACTTAGTGAAACTCCTAGGTTCCACTGAGTATGAAATATGTTAATTTGGGGAGTTGCCCTTGTTAAAAAGAAATTGCCAGTTGCCAAATGGATCACTTATGCTAAGCCCACAAACACCGAATACCTAACCTCACTGCAGTTTCCATCTCCCTCAGGGAGAGAGTCTTACCTGTGCAGTATGATTTTCTGGCCAGCACTCAGGAAGAAGTTTTTTCCATTCCTCAAAGGAAAGGATGATAATGTGCCATTGAGCCTTTTCTGTCCCCATAGGTAGGTTAGCTGAAGCAATTCCCTCTTCTCTTCTTTTGTTCTCTTCCTGCCTATAAAAACTTACATTTCGTACAGCTTTTCAGAACTCTCTTCTACTTGTTAGATGGAATGGTCCCTGCTTCATAAATTGCGTATTAAAGCCAATTAGAATTTTTAAATTAATTCATTTGCAATTTTCATTATTTAATCAAAAATTCGAAGAAAAGTGCATCCCTGAGGCCCCCCAGTCCGGGGCCATTTTTAAGTCTATGCCATGACAGACAGCGGACAGCAGAGGTCAGACGATCCCTGCCCTGTGGCAAGGCGGAGCCTGGAACAAACAGCACTGTGAGGATTGCCAAACAGGACCCGAGCTGGGGGAACAGTGGTAGGCGGAAAAATCTATCCCATTTGGCTTGGGGGTGACAGCTTCTTTGAGAGACTCCACAAGTGCCTTGGTCCTGCAGGGAGGTCCAGGTGTTCTCCAAGGGCATTGCTGCAGTCACTCTGCATTTCCCACCGCCGGCTTGCTCTTCTCTCTCTCGGGGCTTTGAAATCCCAGTGCCTAACCCAGGGGCCTCTCTCTGTCCCCATTCTCCCTAGTGCAGCATTTGACCCAAGGGAACATGCCCCCCTCAAAAGTTTCTCCTCCATTGGTTTCCATGTTCTTTGCCCCCTCCTTCCAGTCCAACCCCCCAGTGTCATGTCCCCAGAATTATTTCCTTAGCCTTCTTTCTCACTTTGCACACCTACACCAGGCCAGCCGCTTCCCGAATGCTGATGTCTCTTCCATCCAAGTGTCTCTCCTGAGCACCAGACCTGCATAGCCCAGACACCTGCCGATGGCCTAGATTCAGCTTCTATTTACAGTGTCCAAAGCTGGCCATCTGTCTCCTGCCCCTGATGCCCCACCTTGCCAGGTGAGCAAGGTCTGGCTGTGTGACACAGGTGTGGCCACTCTTCTTGGTCCTCGTGAGGCAGGGCATTCCCTGGCACTAAGCAGGGCAAGTGTGGGGGCATGGCTTCTCCAGAGCGCAGTTAAGGCCACACTCGGAAGGCCGGACAGGCCTTGAATAAAACCAGAACTCAGGCCCTCCCTGGTGGTGCAGCGGGTTAAAGCACAGCACTAAGAAGGTAAAGCCGCTTCAGTGTGGGTTTGATCCCTGCCCCGGAGGTGACCCACAGATCTCTCCTGACCCGCCTACTGCTCCCCTCAGCAGTGTACTTCATTGATCTGCCTGTTCTACTCCCCACTCTGTCTCTGGTGAAGCCTCTCACTGCACCTCTGACCTGTACCCCAGCTCTGTATGCATAAATAAATAAATATTTAAAAAAAAAAAAGCAAGGGGGCCCTCCCTGGTGACGCAACAGTTTAAAGCACAGCACTGTGAAGCAATCCTCAGCCACTGCAGCATGAGTTCGATCTCCCACCAGAGAGGTGACCCACATGGGCGCAGCAGACCTCTCTTGACCTGCCCACTCAGCAGTATACTCCCCTCAGCAGTGTACTTCAGTAGATCTGCCTGTTCTGCTTCCCACTCTGTCTTTGAGGAATCCTCTCACCCCCTGCACCTCTGGCCTGTACCCCAACTCTTGAATGAGTAAGTAAATCTTTAAAAAAAAAAAAAGTAAGATCCATATTATGGGGGAAACTAAAAAAAAAGAAAAACCAGAACTCTTTATGACACATGCTCCTTCATATACTCCGTGGTTTTCTACTTCTGCTGTTAACTCACCAAATTTACAGAGTCCCCACGCAGTGCCCACTTCTGCCGTGGCCCCAACGGGCTGAGGGAACACATAGGACTGGATGATTCAAGCTCAGAACCATTAGTGCCTACTGTAGGGGCAGGTCAAGAGGGGTAACCCCACAATTCCTTCTCCCTTTGCATCAGTCTGGTACAATAAATTGCTCTCACCCCCTGGTACTCCAGCTGGAGGCCAGAGTTCAGCTGGCTTAAATGGGTTGCTGCATTTGCCAGTAGCAACACGCTTCAGAACCTGTGTGATCACCTCATTCCTTTTCTTTTTTTAAGATTTATTTATTTATTCGTACAGAACTGGGGTACAGGCCAGAGATACAGAGGGTGAGAGGATTCACCAGAGACAGAGAGGGGAGCAGAACAGGCAGATCGACGAAGTACACTGCTGAGGGGAGCAGTGGGCGGGTCAGGAGAGGTCTGCTGTGCCATGTGGTCACCTCCGGGGCAGGCGGGGATCAAACTCATGCAGAAGTGGCTTAAGCTTCTCAGTGCTGTGCTTTAACCCGCTGCGCCACCAGGGAGGGCCCTCATCCCTTTTCTTAAGGGAGGACCCAGCTCTCCTACTTCTGTTCTGATTTGGGTTCTTGAGGTGTGACATGGGAGTGACTCAGTGGTACCGCCTGGACTCTGCAGGCTGCTGGAGTAAGCTGACAGGTGGGCAGTCTTGGCTGAGACGGTCTCCCCACTAATCTGAGGTCTGCGGATCAGGCTTCACGGTTAGGAGAAGCCCAGACAGGGAGCGGCTGGGCAGGTCGCCTGGTGGGAAGACAGGAATGTCTGGCCAGCCAGGAGTCAAGGCCAGCAAAGGTGGGCGCGCCCCGCACCCCTGCAGCTATTTCGTGTAATTATTAATCTCCATTACAGGTGGTTTTATCTTTGCCTGTATGCACCTGCCCTGAGGGTCCCAAGCTGTCCCTGTCTTCACATTCTCCGCCGTAAGAAGCGTGCACAGCGTGTTGAACATCACAACACTGCCTTCACCATTTACCTGCAAGCCTTCTCCTTCTCTGTTGAATTATTTCCTGGCCGCACATTCCCAGGAGTGGAATCATCACGTGAAAAGGGGTGAGGATTTTAATAACTCTGGAACTATATTGTCCAACTTCTTCGCTAAAAGGCTGTGCTAATGTACACAACCCCAGCAGTGTGTTTAGGCTGGTTTTACCACAGTCTCAACAGCGTGAGACATTATAATTTCATTAACATTTGCTAATTTAGTAGGTGTAAAATGACACAGTAGGCTACTGTAATCTACATTTCTCTGATTGCCTTGAGGACTCGTGTTGTAGATGCTGCTGCCCCTTGCGGGCACCTCCTCCCTGCCCCTTGCGGGCACCACCTCCAGCTGTCAGCCTCCACCTCTGCCTCTCGCTGTGTTCTCTTTACTGTCCCCAAGTCTGTCGGCCTCAGCACTTCAGCTCCTGAGTCCTCTGCCTTCCTCTGGTCTCTAGCTGGGCAGGAGCACGGCCATCTCTGAAGGTGGACAAGTACTGATGAGCTTCCGGCTAGACCCAGACTCACGCCTTTGGCCTCGAAGGCCTCCGAGCTTCTGAGCTCAGGACCCTTCCTTCTGCTAGGGCTCAGCCAGGGCTCTCCACCCTCAGGACAGCTCACCAGGCAGGACTCCATGTCCTGGCAGTGGGGGATGTGTGGTCTGACACATGGGTCCAAATGTGTGCAGCAGAGGCTCCCACAGCACGGAGAGCAGCTCCCTGCTTGCCTTCCTGCTCCGGCAGGTACCTTGGCTAAAGCAGCAGAGAGAGTTCACCTCTGGGGTGGGAAACCCACTGGCAGACAGGGACCGCCGGCACTCCAGAGCAGGGCGGGAAGGTTCTGGGGCATTTTTCAGAGAGAATTCAGAAAGGCAACTGGCTTCAGGGGAGCCAGAGCAAGGGCACACGTGAGCCTGTGAGCCTCAGGTTGGCCACTTGCTGACACGGACGCCAGACCTCCCTTGACCCTGCTTGGTGCTGAGGAGGGTGCGCCCAGTGCCTCCCTGTCTGCAGCCCTGCTCGGGCCCTGTGCTGGTCCCAGTGCACTAGAACCAGAGAGCCTTAAAAGCCAGAAGGGAATTCAGACTTAATTTCTACCCTCTTGTTTTATTTAACATTTTTTTAAAGATTTATTTATTCATGCATACAGAACTGGGGTACAAGCCAGAGGTGCAGGGGTGGTGAGAGGATTCACCAGAGACAGAGTGGGGAGCAGAACAGGCTGATTGATGAAGCACACTGCTGAGGGGAGCAGCGCGCGGGTCAGGAGAGGTCTGCCACGCCATGTGGTCACCACCGGGACAGGAGGGATCGAACTCGTGCTGAAATGGCTTTAGTTTTCCAGTGCTGTGCTTTAACCTGCTGAGCTACCAGGGAGGGCCCTTATTTAACATTTTAACTGAACTCTTTTTAAACTTGTTTTTACATAAGTAATGCCTGTCCATTCTAAAATATTTGATATACAGAACATAATAAATGAGAAAACAGCAGTCCTATAAGTTGATCAAAGACAACTGCTGTTATATTTCTATCTTGACTTTTTATTATATATTTTTATCTCTGAGATCATATATTCAATTTTGTATCTGTTTTGTTCACTTCAAAGTAGATTGCAAACATTTTCAACGTAATGAAATATTCTTCGTGAACACTTTTAATGACTGCTTATGGGACTTTTGATTGGAAACACTACAAACACTTCTGTTACCCAGATGTTGGGCATTTATGTTTTCAGCTTTTCCAGAGTGTACCATAGCACACTAAAGTAAAACATCTTCATTCACAGATTTTCCCCACAGGTTAGATCCTACTCACAGGGAAGAAATGTGTTTTAAGATTCTGCACATGTATTTCTCTTTTGCTTTCTGGAAAGCAAAACTAACCCATGCAGTCACCACACACAGTTAGCTATCCCAGGAAATAGCGTGTTCTCACACAAGGGACTGTGGTGATGGTGCACAGGTAGATGGGTGGTGGGAATCTTATGGAGACTACACCTGAGAAGAGAAAGCATGCATTGTACATAAAGGAAAAATGATGTAAAATATGTATTTAAATAAATAAAAAGCAGCATTTAAAAAAAAAACAGGTTGAGAGACAGTCTGTTGCCTTCTTAATAGATAAACCGAAGCTTGATGAGAAACAAGGCGCAGGTGAGTCAGAATATAACCTCACCCCACGTTCACAACCACCCTCAACAACAGTGGAGAAGCTAAAGCCCAGGGATTAAGGAGCCTCTGCAGACTCACAGTCAGCCCAGAGGGGTGGACCCCACGAGGAAGCCCACACAGTCGCACCCCAGGGCCCTTGAAGGCACCACTCTCCTGAAGCTGCTGTTCCCAGCGTGTCACTAAGCAGGGACTTGGGGCCAAGATATGAAAAAACTTGGAGTTTGGAGTTACTCCCTAGACGGAGGGGTGCCATTCCTGGGTTCTTGTGCATCAGGACTGTTTCACAGAGCAGCTTCTGGTGGACTGGCTGGGGGAGGCTGGAGGCAGGAGCGCGCTGGGTGGACGCAATGTGGGGATGACGGGGCCCACAGGAGGGCTACGCAGACACCAGCACCCCTGGCTGTGGGCTCAGGGCAGTCGAGAACATTAGGGGTCTCAGAGGCCTCCCACTGTGCCCTTTCACTGGGCGAGAGCCATTTTTATCTGCAACACGTCAGGCAAAACCTGTGCCAACAGCCAAAGACTCCACCTCAAATCCAGCAAATAAGAGAGAGGACGGTATGGATTACGTTATATTTAAAACAAGCCCACACAATGCCTGTAATTTTTTATTCTGACGCCATAATTATAGCTCACAGCCAGTCAGATCATAGTTATCCCCACACCGACCCGCTGTTGGGACACATTGAATTAAAGGCTTTGCTGCTCCTCAAGATTCTATTTTGGATGCCAAGCACTGGCAGGTAACGGGTCTCTCACAAGGCCCGTCTTGTTGGAGTCTCTCCCCGGGCAGACTGCACAAAGGCCAAGTCAGCACCGGGCTTTGGACAAGACCACTGATGCTATGGGCCACCGGGGTGCTTCACTTTGGCCAGCCTGAGCCTCAGGCCCGAGCAGGGGGCCTGGAGAGCAGAGGAGAGCGCCACCCTCGAGCAGGCCAGCCTCAGAGACTTTACATGCCAGAAGGGTCCCAATTCCTGCTCTCTTCCTGACCCTGATTGGGCTATGGACCTCGATGGGCTAAGCCCTGGCTTTGGGGCACAGTTGTCACAGGTTGGCATAGCGCAATGGGGTCTGATTCAAAGAAGAAGAAGAGAAAAGAGCCAGGCTCACACTCAGGGGCCCCGGAGCTAATCAGCACCCTGGCACTCCCATCCAGTGGAATATAGCTCCTCTCCATCCTGGGATCCATCCACTTGTCAGCCCCACTAAGACTCATGCCCTGACAGTAAGGGTGGGACTAGGCCCCATTCTCAGACCTGGTGCGCCACTGTCCTACCCTCCCAGTAACACCCCCCTCCCCTCCAGGCCTGTCTCCAGCAGCGGGTGCAGGAGACAGACCAGCGCTCACCTGTTGATGACCTGCAGGGCTGGGCTCTGTCTTAGGCCCTTCAGGTGTGTCAGTTACGCTCATCACCCTACCAAGTAGGCGTGACTAACATTATCATAGTTTCCACTTGATGTAGGAGGAAATGGAGCTCAGAGAGGTGAAGCAAGGGCCTTGAGGCCATCCAGCTCACACATGAAGGTTGTTTGCAAATACCCTCTCACCACACAGCTCATCCCCAGGCAACTGACTGACACCACCAGGCCTGCTCCTGGCACGCGTCAGTGGGCACACACCCGTGGGCACCTTGCTGAGCACTTGGGCCGAAGGAAGCACAATCCCAACCTCTTAGCTCAGCCTCCCTGCTGCCTCCGCCAAGCTGCGGGACCAGTCTGCCGATTCCCACACGACTTCAGCTCTCCTGTCTGCTCTTAGAGCTTCTAAGAGGTTCTAGCCTCCATGGCATCTCGCACACACATCTGTCTTAACACTTAAGACGCTGTGTCCTCACCCCTCACAGAACAGTCTCCTACTAAACTCAGGGAAGACTGTGTCCCGGCTGTCACAGTCTGATCCCTGGCCCACAGGAGGTGCTTAGTAACTGTCTGTTGCAAGACACAAGAAGGGCCTGAAGGCTTCCCACTCATCCTTAGAATAGACCCCAGTGCTGAATCCCAGATAAGTGAACCCTCTCCTTTTTATATTATCTGTGTGGTGGTTGTCACTTAGAAACCACCGCCAAGCTGGGACAAAAACTTATTCTTCTCTGTGACCCCATCTCTCAGCTCAGTTGGCATCTAGCAGGGGTCAGCAAAGGTTGGACTGAATTAGTCTGTGTTTCAGAGACCCAGATTAAAGGCACGGTGACCTGAGCCAGGCAGCTACCCGTGTCTCCAGGCTGAAACCACCATGGCCTGGCATGCCAACGATGTTTGCTAAGGAAAGGAACGCTGGAGTAAAATAACTTTAAAAAAGAAGCACACCCAATAGGTGTTCTATTTATAGGAAACTCAGATCCATTTTTAGGCAGCTGCCTTCCTGCTCCCCTCTCCAAGGTGGGTTGGCCCTCCCATGGGTCTCTCCACACCCCCCTGGTAATCATGGCCCTACCTGCCACTCCACTCCCCTGTTTGCTCTGTGGGGTTTCCCTCGATTGCAGGGTGTGAGCTTCTAGACGCCCCAGGAGCCTGTCTCAAGCCTGGTCCCAGACTCTCTCCCTCCCTCCCTGACCTGCCCTTCAAATCCCAGAGCTGGGGGAGCAGCAGACCAGTGTCAGGGCACCAGGCCTGGGGTGAGGAGGGCCAGGGCAGGGAGTCAGGCTGAGACTGGGTGGCCCCTTAACTGAGGCAGAGCAAGGCAGAGTCACGGCAGGACTCCATCTGGAGCTGGCCTACCTTCAGCCTGCCCCCACCCTCACTGGCCAGCTGGAGTCACTAGCTAGGCCAGGGAAAGCACAGGGCTGACCCTCCCGCACTGAGATTGCCTGTGCCATCCAGCAGGGAAAGACATTCTAACTGGAAAGCAGCAGCTCTGTGCACCCTGAGCGCTTATTAGGGTACAAGCGCCAGGCAACCCAGCCCTGGTCCTGGAGCAGCCACCTGGGCCCACCTGGGCCCCGGGCAGTGGAAGAAGAGCTGGTTTTATCTCACTGGCTGTAAAAACAGCACTGACCATGCTACCTGGTGACCATGCGGTCCTCTATCACCCGGCTCTTGCCCTTCTCTAGCCTCAAGTCTCTCTCTACCCGCCTCCATCTGACTCCTTATCTCAGAGACCGCTGGGGCTGATGGAGCACCCAGTCTCCAGCAAGATTTCTGTCCCTCACAGGGGACTGAGGAGATGGGTCCCAAGGGCTCGTCAATAAACTGGCGGGTCCCTCTAGCCCTGAACTTTGTTCTAGGACCAGGGAAGGCTCACAAGAGTGCTGGGCCCCGTGTCCTGGGGAGCCTCTGAGCCTCCTTCAAGCTCAGCACTCGGGCAGGCACCCAACTAACCACAGCTGCGGTTTCCAGAGGGCCAGGCCTCCCACCGCAGGGACAGTAAGCTGAGAAGCCCTGTAGCTATAAATGTGAAGTGGCGAACCGCAGGACACTGCCACAGCCCCACAGCGGGCAGGCGCCTGGCCCTGGCCTCCCGACCAGCTGCAGGGCCGCCCACCAAGCCTCCGAGACAGCAAGTCTCCCAGCTCTGCGTTCTGAGCAGGGCCCCTCGGGCCAGGGATGCCCAGGCCCAGTGCACGGCCAGGTGGGGCCAGGACAGGCAAGACCACACAGTACCTTATATACCACCTTGTTTTATGTTGGAGAACCTCATAGGCTGTTAGTAGCACACTGCCTCTGAAGGTCTTAATGCCTTCCAGTGAGGGCACAAGATCCCACTTCAGACCCATCTGGAGCCTGCCTCAGGCTCAGCCAGGGTGACCTTGAGGGGGCCTGAGGCTACGTGGTCCTGATAGGCTTTAGGCCCTGCAAAAAAGGAGGTCCTGGGGAGAGCCAACCCCTTCAGTCACTGTCCCCGTGTGCCAGTTCAGAGGTCTCGGAACCTTGGAAGGGTTACTGCACCCATTTCACAGGTGCGGGACCACACCCGAGAGGAAGGGCCAGAGTTCTATTGGGCC